GAAAGTAGGCTGCTAGCAAGGAAAGGGGGTGCCCCAGGCCCCTCCACCGTGGGGGCCCCTCCCAGAGGTCCCAGGACCAGGGGCAGGTGCATAGTGGCTGAAGACACTGGTGGCTGAGTGGCAGGACCAGGGGGGCCAGGAGGGCCAGAGAGATTATTGCTCGGGGGCAGGGGAGGGGGTGTTAAGGCATCACTACAGTGGAAGAGAGGAGGGTCTGAAGGTGGTGAGGAGGAGGCATGAGGGGCTGGAGGAGAGGCTAGGTCAGAGGGCACCAGGCTGGAGCGGAGAGCTCCCCAGCTGTATGAGGGGGCATTGAGGCTGATAGCAGGTGGAGGAGGTGGGGCTGGAGAGGGGGCATTGCCCCTTGGGAGGAAACAGGGGCTGCTGCCGCTACCCCCAGAAGGGACTGGGTCTGGAAGCCTTGGGGGTGAGAAGAGTCCCCCAGGGCCTGCTAAAGGGGGAAAGGCCTGGGGAACTGAGGGTGGTTCTTGGGGAAGGGAGCCAGGACCCCCATTAAGTGGAGTTGTAGGAGGAACTCGACAGGGAGGACGGGTAGAGGGAGGCCCTGGGGACACAGTGTGGAACATTTGGGGGCTTGCTCCCTCTCCTGCAATAAATGAGAAACAAAAGGTCAGCCTGCAGGTCCCCCCTCCACTTCCAAGTACTTTATCTTTTCCAATCCTACTTCCCACAATTTCACAACCTTTCTGTCCCTTCCTCTCACCAAGTAGCTCCCCACCAGACACATTTCTTTGTCCCTCTAACAGCTCTTCCACCACCACCACCTTCCAGGCCCTCAGGCTTCCCTCAGTGTGCTGTAAAGTAGAAAACTCACCAGGAGAAGAGTGTGAGCAGGTGGTCTCCATGCTGCGATACAGAGTTGCCATGGCAACAGCTTTCCGCCGGTGGTTGCACAGCTTGGTCATGTCCTCCTCTGATGCTGGCCCCACCCCAGCCCCACCCTGGGTCACCGGGGCCAAAGGGTCAAAGTTGAAAACCTGCACGGTAGAAGGCATAGGTAGAGACCCTGAGGGGTAGCATCCGTGTGCCCAGCTACTATGGGCAGTGATTTACATTAAGTCTTTTGGTTTATCTCTGTACTCTCTGGCACCTCCCCCCCCACCATGATTCTGACCTTGGGGACATTGAGTGGACATTCCAGACCACACTTGCAGGTCCCATCGCTGAGGAGGTAGCTCCGGGTTTGCTCCAAGGAAGACAGCTCTGTGCCACTTGGGCTGTGAGGGGACAGGGTCAGAGGGTATGGGGTTAGTTGGCAGTGAAGCAGGAGATACTCTGTAAAGGAGAGTTCCTATGGCAAAGGCCTTCCCAGAAAGGGAAGACAGGAAGGATGTGAGAAGAAATAAAGAAGAGTCTTAAAGTACCAGTGATCTAGAGAGCAAAAAGCTGAGGAAGGAGGGGAACAGAGCAATAAGACCAGAGATGGAAGCCTTGAGAGCATAGGTAGGAGAAAGAAAAACAGGCAACTGAAAATCAACAAAGCTGATGGAACTTGGGAACTCTGAAGATTCATACCTGATATAGAGCACAACACCCTCTCGCACACAGCGCTGCCAGCCGATGGGGACAGATGTGGCCACAGGGCCCCCAGCTCTGTCTGCTCCACTGCTCTCATTGCCCCCATTCATTGTGTGTAATCAGCTCCCGCGTGCCTGATAACACAGACATCCATGTGGGTACTAGGATGATTAAATGAGGCTGGGTACCTGAGGGAGAGCTCTAGGAAAGCAAAGGTTGAGAGACCCGGAGAAACTTGGGAAGCCTCAGAGTTGCTAGGGGAACACCTTGGTGAGCTCAGGAGGAAGAGGAGTCCTCTGACACACCACCATGACTACCTGAACATCTCTGCAAACATTGTGGGGTCCAGTCTAAAGCCCGGGCCACCAGCTTAGCCCACACCTGTAACACAAGGAAAGAGAAGGGACTTTCAGGACTCTTCCTAGCTCGAGAGCCCCACAACGCAGGACACTCAAGGCAAAAGCCTTAATGTGAAACAAGTGCCTGTGAAGAACTCTGCTGCGTTTGTGACTACCCTTTCCAAGAAAGCCCAGTCCCTAGGGACCAGAGGGTCAGCACCTCAACTTCCAAGGACCACAAAATCATTGCCCAGTTTCTATACATATGAAGGGGACAATCCCCTTTGTCACATTACAGACAGAAGACTTCAACTGAGGCTGTGCACAAATTCCCATAATGCTAGGCCAACTAGGAAGTTTCCTAGTGTCAAGCCCCTGCTGTCCCCTCCCCCAAGGAAGATCATATAAAAAGTACAGATTACTCCATAGGTCAGCAAGCAGTTGCCCAACTGCCTGCTAGCGTGGTACCAAGAAAAATCCTCCCTCTGTCCATTCTATCAACCACTGATCTAGTTCATTTGGGACTTAAGAGGTAAGAATCACAGCTCCTCTTCTCCCAGGGTCCTGAGAAGCTCTAGAGTCTTCTCCTCAAGCCCAAGGCTAGGGGACTCAGAACCTCCTATCCCACTCGCTTCCAATTAGAAACCAGAGACCTTTCTCTCTGATGTGGGACGTCCCTGAAACCTGCAAATGCCCTTCCCACCTCACCATCGCTTCCACCCCACACTGACGGCTTCCAAACTTTCCCTCTCATAGCAAGGCGCCCTGTCACCCAGACTGCTTCCCTTAGCTTGGGGAGGAGGGGAAGGCGCACGAAGTAGGAAGGAACTTGGGGAGAAGGCGGGCGGAGGGTGGGCGAAGCACTGAAGGAAGGGAGGTGAGGAAGGCAGAAGTCAGGCAGTGAGAGAGAAACGGCGGGGGCAGGTGAGGGCGGGGGAGTGGGTTGGGGCCGAGGAAAGGGGCCGAGAGGACGCGGAGGGGGCAGAGGGTAGAGACTGCAGGGGAGGAGGGGGAGGGGAGGGGCGGGGGGGGCCGGGCCCCGCACTCACCGCGGCCCATGGTTCGGCCGGCCCCGCCCTGCGCAGTCGCGGCCCAGAGGGTGAGTGGGAGGGGGGGTGGGAGGAGGGTCGGTGAAGCCCGAGCCTCCGGTACGGCCCCGGCCGGTCCTAGCAGGAAGCACCGCCGCCGCCGCGGATCACCGAGCGGCCTCCCGCGCATGCGCCATGGGGGCCAGGGGCAGCCCTGGGGATTCCGTTCCCAGAAGGCACCGCGCAGGCTGCCGCCACCGCCGCCGTCGCTGCCGCCGCCA